AATGATGAAAAACAAATTCTCATGTACTAATAGGCCTTTAAAACTTTTTTGAGAAGCGTTTTTCCATTCCCATTGCCCATTTTTTATTGGATCCTTTATTTTGAGAGGTTTAATTTTTCTGAGCAGATGCAATTAGGGCCATTGAAATTTGTAGTAATATGATTGTAATTGTAAGTTTTTTGTTCTGTGTATATGATTACAAAAATGAAGAAAGACAGAAAGAAAAGTAGAAAATATATATAAATGACAGAAGTGACTAGGACACATCAGCATAACCTGAGTAGAAGAGGAACCCATAACTTCTTGGGGACCAGTATTTTCCTTTTGTCTCTTTCTTCCATTAGTGTTAGTAAATCCTTAGAGAATGGGGTGGCATAGAACATTTGACTAATTATAAACTCAGTGCATTGAACCTCCAAAGTTATATAATTGCCAATGTTCAGCTTGCACTCCCAACGCTTCAGTTTGATGACTCCACTCTGGTGACCTTCACAACTGTGTCCAAGCTGCATGGTTGTCTGCATCAGCAAGTGCCTATCTGATTTTGCATTAATTTCAATCCTGAGAACAGAATCTGAGGATTCAAGAGACAGCAGGCATAAGAGACCCTTTGGATCTACTCTCCCTGATTATGACCCAGCAGAGAAACAGCATCACCTGGTAAGTGCAAAGGTGCCTCAGGGCTATAGAAAACCTCCATTAAGTATGGTTTCCTCACCTAAAGGTCAAACATTACAGTTTGAGTAGCCAGATGGAAAGGTGCAATTATGAAAAGTATTTGTTATGGGGAATGGAAATTGTATGTTTTTGATTTTACTGGGAAAACAGAATCATTATTTCAAATTTTCCTTCTATACAACTTGTTTCTATTTCCCATTAGTGTCTCACTCATAGTAGCAGAAAATGTGTTCTTGTGCAGTGCAGTGTTCTTAAGCAATGAAAAAGGATGATGAAGGTGATGATAAGGATGTAGAAGAGGTAGACAGTGAGCATCACATCTGGAACTGGTTCTGAGGGCTTCCTATACTCCAGGGACTGAGCAATGAGTTCTATGCTGCCTGTTTCATTTCATTGATTTTGTCTTCCTATATGATACGTGCCTATATTGTTATTCCTTATAGTAAAAAGAAGAACCTGTTATTTTAATGAAATTTGCAGTGGGCTGTTAGGTAGGAAAATGTTAAGCCACATTTGAATAGGGCTGTCAGATTACAGACACGGAGCATCAAAAGAGGATTAATTCTGGCAGGTTGTCCCCATAATGACCCACGCAGCCATATCCCTTCCCTGTCATTCCAGGAAGACATCCCTTGTTCACCTTCTTTGGGGATTCTTGATAGGTCCCAAAGCCGAGCAGTGAGAGACACCAGGTGTATCCAACATAGGAAAAGCAGATGTGGGTCAGTGATAAAGATCTCAGAAAGAGTACACACTTCACAATTCAGCACAGATTTCTCCTCTGCCACCAGGGCAAGGTATCTCACATAGTTTCCCCCACATGCAATTATATCACTCAGTCTCCAATGGGGCTGTGTCATCTTGATTTCATTTCCAGTTAAGAAGTGAGAGAGTTAAAAATGTACCTCAAACGCAATTGTGGTTAAGATCTCTGAGCCTCTGCTTAAATCTTTCTGTGAGTTGGGGAAAATTGAAAAATTTTAATACATTGGACAGCATCAGTCAATTTAATCCTTTTAACCTCATGTATATTTTTTAATGCAGATCAGCTTTTTAATATCTCTGAAGCAGCATTTTATTTTTCATGTTAATTTCTAGTTGCAACAACATCACTAAAGATATATATATATATATATATCACTAAATAAATAGACATATATATATATGTAATCTCCATATCTCCATATGGGATATATATGTCTAACATCAGAGCAAAATAAAGTTTAATTTGAATTAATATGAATGACAAGGATAATCTTTATACCTATATGTCCTGTGACCTGAAATTATTGTTTTCCTATTTCTGTAGTAGTTCATTTTACTTGTGTCACTATAAGTATATGTACATGTTTGGAGAGGAATTATTTGCTGCCCTTTACATCCAACTCTCCCGAGACCACATATTGTTTGACACAAAGGAGGCATCAAGATGAAAAGTTCTGGGTGCTGGGGGTCTAGCACAGTGGTTTAGCCACCTGCCTTGCAAGCGCAAGGTCCCGAGATCAATCCCCAGTACCAAAATAAATAAATAAATAGATAAATAAATAAAATAAAAACTCTGCTAAACACTGAGTGGATTCCTCCTTGCGTCACAATAAATGTCTTTACTCAGCATGACATAAACATGCTTTGTGAACTCCCATCAGATTATCCATTCCTTTCTGGGATATCCCATAGATAAAGAGGCAAGGTAAAATAGCTTTGCCAAAATATATCATGTAAAGGTACAAATCCCCAATGATGAATGTCATTTTATTGTATACCTAAAATGTACCAATAAACTTAATGAATATAAAAAAGATAAAATAGCTTTGGTTTATGTCTGCATTATAGACAAATGGGCCCTATTATCCATTTGGTTTTATAATGGATACATCCATTACTGAAAATCATGGCAAAGAGATTCATGAGTTAAAAAATATGTGGCCAGGTGAATGTATGTCTTTGGCTGAGATGAAGTCTAGAGCTTCATATCATTCCAGGCTCCACTGCGATTTGAATGCAGTTTACTATGCTTCTCAGTAATCTTCCTACTTGCATGATAAAATGCTTTATTTTAAAAACAAAAACTCACAATGACTACATACTAACTTCCTCTAGTGGCCACATGTGTGGAGATGAGGGTTATCCTCCTTATTTTCACCAAGTATTATGAGCACAGAGAAGAGAGATTTGCACACATCTGCATATGGCAGCAGGTCAGCAACACAGGACTAATGTTCATTTCCCAGCCCCCTTTCCAAGAAACAGTCTCCTCCACTGAAGCAAAATGTAAATGATTTTCCCAATAAGGTGATGAACTTTCTTTGAGTTTTATCATAAAGAGATCATGAACGGACAGACCGCAGGGGTATTTTGAAGGGATTTCTCAAAAATAAAAGGATATAAATGATCATGACTGACTTTTGGTAGGGGGAATGTGTAAAATTTTACACATAATATATATTAGAAGTCAGAGAAATATCTCACACCAATATATTTTGCATAGGTTTCCACTTATGTGACAGAGTGGCATAAGAATTTTGAAAACTGACATAATAATAAACTTAGATGTTAAATGAGGGTTCTCCTTGTAATGGTTTGCATTAGTTAAAGGGAATGTAAATACACTTGTGTATGTAGCCCGCTGTCAGGGAAAATAGATTTGTGTTGTTTACAACTTACTTAAGTTTTAGATAACATTTAGGTAAGTTTTTAAGAAAATTCTGATTCATAAATCAATTATCACCTGAAAACTGTAACAGGAAAATTGATTCATGAAATTCATAACAGACTCCTTTGAGGACAGGTTAGCAAGGGAATGGAATTACAGAGTGATACCACCAATTCAAATTTCATAGGGAATTGCTCAAGTCTCTAAAAATATTAGTTGAGATGTAAAGATAATTAAATAATTATAGAATAATATGTGGAGAGCTAATGTTAAAGGATCATCTTATTAATTCAAAGAAATATTCTAAGACAATAGTTCTCAACTCTGATATAAGGAAGGAATCCAAAAACTCAAAATAGTGGGAATGTGATTAAATTTATTGGTCTGAGTCTAGGGTGTTTGAATATTTTAAAATCTATCTATCTATCTATCTATCTATCTATCTGCAAGTAGGTGATAATCAACAGTGATGTAAATTATTGCTTAAATGTTTTCATACAGCAACCATACAAATTAGGTGGTTGTTGTACTCATTTTACAGATGAAGGGGAATTACAATTTTTACAGCTGTGTTCACTCCATTTCATGTACTTAATCTTTTGTACATGAGCTTCCAGGTGTTTTAACATTATTTCATGTACTTCTACTTCATGTTTTTCTCAAATAAATTACAGTGTGAGCTCACTGAAAAAGTGTGTAAGTTTCAGTATTTAAAATAAGAGAAATGTTTATCATGTACCAGAAAATACTGCTGTGGAAAATCTGTCAATAGAATTCAAAAGCCTTGAAATCAGCCAGGGCCTTTGGACTTTCCTAGTTTCTCAGATTTTCCACAGGACATGGAGGATTTAGTATCTTAAAAATAATGAGGCATGCTACTCTATAATACAGAGTCAAAAAAAGAGCAAATAGCTAACAGTGACATTGTATGGGATGATTAAAATAAACATGTATAAAATTTAAAAAGCAAAACATCAGTCATTCTTATCCCTTATTTTTTCTTATCATTGACAGACACAGTATGCACTAAGGCCACATTCCTTGTTATTATGTAATCAGATTCTATGTGTTTATTTGAACTTGCTTTATGTTATTTAATATGTTTTAGACAATATGGAAGTTACATATTAAATAATCTATACATGGCAAAATCGATGTGAGCTCTTATATCTTTGAAAAATAGAAATAAGAAAATCCCCATAATGATGAAAATTTCTGGGAGGTAACTGGCTCAATACTATATATTTTGATTATGAACAATTAACTTCAATGTTCATATCATGCAGTCCTAGATATTATACTAATTATAAACACCGTAATTCAAGAGAATTTTTACCATTTTCTGAGAAGAAAATAAGGTATATTAAATGCTTGTTAATTTTCTTCCAATAGAATCACATATTTTTTTTAAAGAGTTGCCTGTATATTACTGGTTCATAGAATTCAAAACTCAAATGTTCTAACATTTCCACTACAGTGTCTGTAATTTAGGAGTGTACAGAAGGACAAGGGGAACAAATAACCCAGTAATGAAAGAGCTCGTGTAGATTGAGTTTATCACCACTGATTGATATTACTGAGGTTTATGGACTTTATGTGGGAATACTTTGCTTAGGAATAATTGATTCCTAACATATAGAGAGTCTTCAGCACTATTTAGTGGTTTCATTTTTCTAATGAATTTTCTTTTTGAAAAGGTGTTCAAGCATTATCAAAACATATAATCTAACAGGAGTCTCAGAATTCCAACTCATGGGCTTCTCAGATGATCCAGACCAGCAGCCCATCCTCTTTGGACTGTTCCTGTCCATGTACCTGGTTACAGTCCTCGGAAATCTGCTCATCATCCTGGCTGTCAGCTCTGACATCCATCTCCACACACCCATGTACTTCTTCCTCTCCAACCTGTCCTTGGCTGACATTTGTTTCATCTCCACCACAGTCCCAAAGATGATTGTGGACATCTCAACTCAGAGCAGAGTCATTTCCTATGTGTACTGCCTGACACAGATGTCTCTTTTAATCCTTTTTGCAAGTATGGATGACATACTCCTGACTGTGATGGCCTATGACCGCTTTGTGGCCATTTGCCACCCCCTGCACTATGCAGTCATTATGAACCCTCGCCTTTGTGTATTATTACTTTTGTTTTCTGTCTTTGTTAGCATTTTGGGCTCCCAGCTACACATTTTAGTTGCCTTGCAATTTACCTGCTTCAGGGATGTAGAAATTGCTAATTTCTTCTGTCATCCTTCTCAAGTCTTTAACCTTTCATGTTCTGATACCTTAATCAAAATCATGGTGACATATTTTGCTGGAGCCATATTTGGCTTTATTCCCATGTCATTGATCCTTTTCTCTTACTATAAAATTGTTTCCACCATTCTCAAAATCCCTTCATCAGATGGGAGGTACAAAGCCTTTTCCACATGTAGTTCTCATGTGTTGGTAGTTTGCTTATTTTATGGAACCAGCATCGGAGTGTACCTTGGATCATCCATATCATATTCTCCTAGGAAGGGTATGATGGCCTCATTAATGAATACTGTGGTCACTCCTATGTTGAATCCTTTCATCTACAGCCTGAGGAACAGGGATATTAGTAGCACCTTGAGGAGGATCTACAGATGGCGAATATAATAACAAAGTTTTGGGTCCATTTGGAATGTAGGTTGAGAAGTATAGTGAAACTAAACACAAAAAACTCACTTTAAATATTGCCTTCTTGATTATATTATTTTAGAATTTTGATGTCTTCAATTTTATGTAATGTTCTTAGAAGAATTGTGGCTGATTTGGGGAATGGTGAAGTTTGTGGCTTTAATATCAGTGCAAAATTCATTTAGGAAGTTGTGAAATTTTCCAAGATGGATAAGAGTGATGGTTGTCCAAAAACAGCACTGGATTTAGTGCTACCAGATTTTATTTTCAAGTGTTACATTTAGTTATATGTATCTCAGCATAGTGAGAAATGGAAATAATAAAATGAGGATTTTAAAAAAACAAATTTATAAATTTTATTGAATATTTCAAACAGTTTTTCAATGAACACACCAGAGATAAAACCTGTAGAACAGCAGTGCAAATATTTCACAAGTGTGGCCTTGCAGTCTCATTCCCTTGATGGATGCCTCCTGTTCTCCCCTCTGCCTGGCCCACTTCCCTCCTCCCCTGGCACAAGAATGGAATGGTTCTGACTGGAAGGACAATTATACTGATCCTCAGTGAGTGGGAGCCAGGAGAAAGTTTTGTTTGTCAACACTTGTTACTGAAGCACAGAGAAAAAGAAAGCCAATGACAGTCACAAAGTCTTCCTGTGTATTCTTCTCAAGGTACGATCTCCATAAGCAGCAACGAAAAAGCTCCTACCAGGAAGATGAAGCCCACTGTTCCCGGTGTCTTTTCTGAACCACATTGGAGGCCAGTGCTGGTTGCTTTGCAATTCCCATGCTAAATAGAAACTCAAGTGGCACCTACTACAGCTAACTACTGCTAAACCCCCAAACCAGAACATGTTCTTTAAAGCTTCTTTAAAAGGAATATGCATACATAGCCGGTCATGGTACCACATGGCTATAATCCCAGAACTCAGGTGGCTGAGGCAGGAGGATCACTTGGTGTTCAAGGCCAGCCCAGGGTCCATAATGAGCTCACGACCAGCCTGAACTGCACAGATCCTGCCTCAAAAAAAAAAAGAAAGAAAGAAAAGAACATACACATGTATTTACACACAGTCAAACAAACACACATACAGGGCACATTTTCCATTCAGTTGGCAGAGGACTGCTAGGTCTACATGAACACATCATACCTGAATCCTCCGGAGAATGCAAAAGAAACACAAGGACATCCCCCTCTCTGGATGGCTGAGAAAAGCAGGAAAAAGGGTAAAAGAAGCAAGGCTGTGTGGAAAGCATGAGCCCAGATACCCAGGAGAAGGGCAATATCTATCTGAGGCTTCTTTCAAAAATGAAGCAGCGAAAATAGTGGAAGCTTATGGACAATGTACCTAGCCTGCTGAACAGGGAAGAGGATGAAAAAAACAATGCTCTTCGACATCAGCCATCTCTTCAAGTTTGAGATAAGTGCAAAAATCAGCCCTGTCTGTCGTGGACAGGTGCTGCCCCAGAAATGTAAAGGAGTAGAAGAAAAATAAAGGGAAACCAAGAGGGGGACTGAGAATTCACTAGCTTTCTGGGAAAGAGGAAGATTCTGACAGGAGGGGTCACAGAGGTGACAATGAGACTGGCATTTAACTGTCCAGGCAAAGCCAGGGTTGTTGACCAGGATGTTTGTAGACTCTTCACAGTAAAGAGGCAAGGGGCTGACCATCCTGCCTACCACGACCCATGGGGCAGAACACATGCAACCACAAGGCCACCCGTGAGTACAGGACTCTAAAATAAAAGCACCAGTCAGTGGCATTATTCACATTATAAGGATAAAACATCACAGGCCAAAAAGACACCATCAGGAATGTGATAGCCACAGGGCTGTTGGTTTGAAATTCCAGGGCTTCATGACCTGTGTCAATGTCTGCCCTCCAATCTTCTGCTTCCTTGGAAAGCTAACAACATAGCTGTTAGGTGCTCACAACAGCAGGGTTGTGTGGCAAACCGGAAAGTGGGGAATCCATGCAGTGGTACAGGAGACAGTCTCCCCAGCAGCCATAACAGATGAGGAGCAGGGCTGCCGGGAAAGCCAAGGCACAGATTATGGCAGGCTTCTCTTGTAGGAGAATGCTGAGAAGGTTCAGTCCATGAGCATGGAGTGGCTGAACTGCAGGGCAGGATTGAGGGGCTTGGGGATGGTGAGGACAGACAGCGCCCACTGGAGGCAATACATGATCTCTGCTGGGCAAGGCCTTCACCAAGCCTGCCAGGCATTGCTGTAGAGACAACCTAATGGAAGCCACTGGTTGGAGGTGGCTTCCCTCTGCTTTCTTCAACCCTCTCTCCAGGAGCTGAGCCACTGTGCTGTCTGGCTGTCAGCCTGGGATAACCAAGGCAGCAAGGATCCTGCCAGCCCTGTTATGGTGCTGCTGCCCCTGCTGCCATCACTGCTGCCAAAGATGAAAAATTTTGTTAGCAAAAGAACTTTACTAAGTGAACAGGACACCTGAGATTAGGATTAGGGTGGAGATGCCAATTCTGCCATTTTCAAATCCAAAGCCTCTGGCTGTGGGGGGTGGAGCCTGGGTCCTTTAGTTTAAACACTTCGGGGGTCTCTTGCCGGCCTTACTGTGGCTCCCTGACCATGTATGCAGAGTGGCTGTCCCTCACACAGTCACTATGGGAGCTTAACATCAGGAGCCCTGAAATGAAGCCAACCAGTGGCTGCTGTGTTGTCCAGGTTCAGCTGACCTCATCCCTGGAACGGTGTCCACCCACTCTCTGCAGGGGACCCAGGCACTTGGACTGCACTAGCTGGTGCAGCAGACAGCAGCTGCTGGGCTATTCCACTGCGGCGTTTCTCCTTGATGGCCTCTGAAGTCCCCTGCTTTCACTGTGTCTTTTTTCTTGTAATTCAGTCCTTTCTTGTGTACCACAAGCAATACACCAGGGAGATAGCAGATTGTCCCTACCTTTTTATCATTGTATTCTGTCTCTTTAACTTCTCCATGGGCTCCAAATTTCCTGTCAGATCCTTCCTGGATCCCAGAGATCCACCTCCATTCTTTTCTTCTGCAAGTTGTTATTTTCCAAAGTCTGGATTCTATATCTTGGAGAAGCTGATCTCTTGTTGCTGACCACCTTGCTATTTTTTTCTAAATACTTTCATCTTTTGCAGTGTCTCCCAATTAAATCATCATGAGAACTAACAGAACAATGGACCTGAGTATCCTTCATGTGAGTGAGGTGTGACAATTTCAATTCATGTATCAGGAAATATGGATGGGAAAATCTGTTAATTAGGGATGAGTGTTGGGACAAAAACCTGGGCTTTACAACTCTCCCTCATGCTAAAGCCTTTAAATGTAAACAGAAATATTATGATTAGAAAAATAATGAATATACTCATTATGAACCGCAAACATGTACCAACAAAAAAATTAAAAACAATGAAACAGTTTCAACAGGTCACTGTAGAATAAAGAATAAAAATTAAAAAACACACATTGTCACCAGGTATTTTACTGTAATTCACTGAGTTTGATGCAAACAAACCTGTATAAAATTTTAAAACTACAAAGGTGTTTATTAACATTTCATTACTTTTAAAAAATAAGAACCAACATGGAGTTGGTAAAGGTGCAAATTCCAATGATGAATGTCATTATATTGTATACCTAAAATGTATTAATAAAATTAATAATATAAAAATATAGACAGATGTAGTGTGCATTGTGGCATATTTCTGGTCAATGGTGTCATATTAGTTTGTGTCTTTTACTAAAATATGTTTATTAAAATTTGGAGTCCATGAAGGTCTAGGAGAAGAGTTATTGTCCTAGCTACTTTCCCACCACTGGACACAATACTCAGCATCTACAACTTAAAGGAGGAAAGGTTTATTTTGGTTTAATTTTAGTCCTTGCCTGGCTGTCTCCAAGACAGAAACAAGAAAAAAGAGCCTGGCAGAGGAAAAAGTGCTTAAGCCATGGCAATCAGGAAGTAGAATGAGGAGGGAGAAGACAGGGACAAGAACACACCCTTGCAGGTTTCACCACCGTGACTAGCTTCCTGCTGGGCCTTATCTCCTGACAGAAAGTCACCTATAAAGTCATACTGATTCAACCACCTTCCACACACATGAGACATTTGGGGGGATATTTTAGATCTAAACCATAGCAATTAGAACATCAATATATTTTAAAAGCTAAAGAAATATTTGAGTGGCCAATTATACCCAGAAAGGAAAGAAATCATAAAACCCCAAAATGTTGATAAACTCCTGGAGATAACTGTGCATCACAGTATTTTTTATAAACCATCAGCTTTATTGATTGTGCACATAATGTAGTCCTTCTTCCTACTGAATCTTCAAAAATATTTGAAATTAAAGAAATTTGTACCATTTTCTTGCAATAAGAGATCTTTCATTGTTTCTAATTTCTTGTAATGAGAAACAATTTCTTAAAGACAGAAGGATATTTCTCATTTTCTTTTGTGTTTCAATAGTGAACTATAGTTCACTGTGATTGTGGACCTCTTATTACTAATGTTCTTCAGCATTTAATCATTCAATGAGGTTTCTCCACTGCAAGTGCATAAAGATTTCAATAAATCAAAAGCCAATATTGAAGTATTTTTAGAAAGGCTGGGCTTGACACAACTGAAATATAATTGATGATATATGGGCCTTTGCTGCATATATTTTACTTGTGAATATTTGGATTCAAAATACACACAGAGTGCTTGTTGCTTGTTTATTTCATTTTTTGTAACATTCTCTTACTTATACAGAACGTATTATATTTTATTAGTGCATATTAACATTACATAATAGTGTAGTTTGTTTTGGAATGTTAGTCAATTTTTTTTCTTACTCAAAAGGTGTCCAAGAAATATCAAATCACAAAATAAAACATTTGTTTCAGAATTCCATGTCACTTATCTTTAAGATGATCCATCCTCTTTAAACTGTTCCTGTCCTTATGTCAGTTCAGGGTTCTGGGAAACCTGCTCATTATCTTAGTT